GATCTGATGTTTTATAAGTGTGTGGTACCTCTGCCTTCTCTCTATTCCTTTACTCTGCCCATGTAAGACATCCCTGCTTCCCCTTCGCCTTCCACCATGATTGCAAGTTTCTGGAGGCCTCCTCAGCCATACTTCCTGTACAGCCTGCAGAACCATAAGCCAATTAAACCTCTTTTCCTTATAAATTACCCAGTTTTAGGTATTTATAGCAGTGTGAGAATGGACTAATACATTACCTTTAACACTGATGGTGCCCCGACAGAGGGATGAAACAGCACTGCCTCATTTGAGAGATAAGACAACTCAATTTCAGGTTAGTATAACACAAATTTGGAACTGTTTTATCTGGCTTACCCTCTGCTGTGGTCAGCTCAGTCAGCTTGCCCGTTTGTTTTGTGAACAGATAAATTATACCAAAGATACCTTACTCAAATAACGCTGAAGATGTGGGATTGATATCCAAAGAATGATATACCCACACTATTACATTACAAAGTACTGATTGGCATGATGGTGAACAGGCACAATGAGCAAGTATTTATTGGTTAGCTCCAAATGGAATGTCTTGGCTATGTAGTACTAGCTTGTGGCCATGGCTACCCCCAGGATAGGCTAAGACCGTGTTCCTTGGCTTATGCTTGGACACAGGGCTAAGTAGTTCATACCCTGTCAAAATCTGCAAATTTTTCTCATTCACAATCTCATTGTGTTCATCCTGCGTTTCATCGGTATGATCATTTAACTTTCATCTTTGCACCACAAATCAGGTATTGAGAATATCATTTGTCGTGAAGAGATCCTAACCAATTATACACAAAAGGCCCTAAATAATAGCTCCATGGGTATGTCATTGCTAAACAAGTAAGTTGCTTTTATGAGAACTGCTACGTTATAGAAGAGTATGGCTTTAGACACACTCAGTGCAGCCTGAGGAGGAACTTGTACATCAGAAAATCTCAGTGTTGTTTCTCTACTCCAGATGACTCGAACAACATCATGAAATTAATCACGGGTATACAAATTCAAATAACTAACTTTTCAGATTCAGTACTCTGATTAGTTATGCAGCTGGTTTGTATCTCGCAGAACTTGGTGTAAAAAAAACTGTTACTAATTCTGGGAATTGTAATCATTTGTTGTGTTTTGTCCTGTTTTTGTCTACACTGCTGTTATGGCACATGTTTGCAATCGAGTCAAAGCACAACCAAAAAGACTAGAATAATGGTTGCTCAAAGAACTGCTTTGAATGAAGAGGCAGTCATGTGGCCTGAATCAGATTTGAGGACCACTTCTCCCTTGTTTACTTTATACATTGGCTTTACTTCTTTCTAATTCTTCCCCTATTGGACGTGACTTCCTAGAAACGAGCCTTCCTAGTAGGATGAGATTTTGACTTAAATACATGATTCTTCTGCCACGTTTTCTCTGAAATAATTTGAAGAAAAGGAAGAAATGTAAGAGAAGTAAAATGTCCTGACCTTCTAAATTTATTATGCTAAGGGGGGAAGTTAAGCCCTGAAGACTCAGTCACATACCATGTTTGCAACTTGGCTTCATAGATTATAGCTTAACTCTCTCTCATTGTTCTAGTTCTGTAAATGACTAGGAGAGACCAGAGACCAGAACGCCTCCCTTCCCATCATTGATCCTTGTTATAGATTACTTGCCTCCTTTGTTGTCCTGTTCTTAACTGAGAACAGAGGGTGCCCAAGACCTCATGATAGTTACATCTTTAGTGTGGAATGTTAAATATACCTTTCCCAAAAAGAGAAAGACTATCTCCACTAATCAGATCATTGTAACTATGCATTAAGCTTCACATGGACAGATGTTAAAATTCAGTTTAACTTTCCTGAACTTTGTCTGTATAAATGGTCCCTAACTTCTCCACTTTGTAATACTGACTTATTTTTTGGAATCTATGCTTCCCAGTTGGTCCATCCTCAATCTTTTCAAGTGAATAAATTATCTTTAATCTACATTCTGACCCTTTGATTATTTTACGTTGATATTTTACTGACCTGCGGGAGACTCTTTGTGATTCAGTTTGTTTGACTCATCAACCCGCAGGCCGCTGGTTTGAAACCTAAGCCACTACCGGAGCTGATTAGAACCCCTGGGAGAGCCAGGACTGCTCAGACGTCACTAGCTGCTATGTCCAGAAACCTGGATCCTTCAAAGAGGAAACTCCTTGTGCTGAGACAGGCCTGGTGGTGCGGGGGACAGGAGCCCTCATACTTGCCCTCCACTGGGACACTAGGGTGAGGTGGACATCTGGTTGCCCCTGGCATCAAGTGACCCAAGGCCAACACCCATAGAGCCTGCCTTCCTCCAGGGCCCAGGCTTCTGCAGCAGAACCCAGCTGCACCCTCCTTCTGCATTCCCAGCCGGGGGGTCACAGCCCCTCTCCACTGTGCTTCTCACCTCTATCCCTCTTATCCTGCGCACTCCTCGGCACCCACAGTAATAAACAATCACAGTGGGGCAGGTGTTCACAGGAGGCGGGGGCAGTGGTCATGAAGGAAGAGGAGGTGGTTTCTCCTATTCTGGCTTCTAAAAAAAGAAAAACAACTGTTTGTTTCCTTTACGGGCAGATCCTGAGTGCAAGGCCATGGTGTCATTGCCCCAGCACCAGGCACAGTGCTGACCGCTCCCAGATGTGTATCTGGGGAATGAAAGGACCAGTGAGGAGCCCACACAACAGGGGAGCATCTTTCGCGTGAGAAACATGCAAACTCCTCCTGGTTTGCAGACATGGTTTTTCCCCTAAATGCCAACGACTTTGTCTCCGTCCCTTTGGTTCTCCCGTGGCCACCCTTGTTGAAAGAGGCCTGCTCTGGGGGCTGTGCAATGGTCCCAGAATTTGCAAGTGGCTGTCCGCATCCACCTGGTTGCAGATGCATCCTCCCTGAGCCCACTCTGCAGCACCGCAGTGGACAGATTTGGCCAGGGAGGTCTGTTCCCACCCCATCCCAGGTCCAGGGCCTCCTGCCTCAGCTACTGCCCTCACCACTGCCCATGGCCCTTGGGGTGGGTCCCTGTCCCAGGAGCCTGCTTCCGGACTCCTGGCCCCTGTGTTCACTGGGCTGGGTGTCTCTCCCAGCTCGGTGCCTGCCAGGACTCCCGCATCCCTCAGCCCTGTAGTCCCTAGAAGCTAACGTCAGCCAGCCCCTCATCCCTGCCAGGAGACAGGGATCCAGGGAGGCCAAATGGAGCCACACCCGCATCCGGAGGCTGGGGATGGGGCCAGATCCCTAAAACATGGGGCTTCTTTTCCAGAGCGCTCCATCCTCAGCATCTTATACATGCTCCGTGGGTATTGTCAGAAGAGCCCCATTTACTCAGGAGAGATCACCACAGTTGCTGAAACAGGCCACCCCAGGCTGTGAATTGGTGAGAAGGCTCATGTTGAGAGGTGCAGGGAGCGAGAAAGGTGTGCTGGGGACATCACTGTGAGTCCCCACCCTTCTCAGGCTCCATTCTGCCCCTCTGTCACCTTCTTCTCTTCCCAAGCAGGTGGAGGTCATGGGGCTCAGGCTTCATGGCACTCTTGGTGAAGGTCAGTGGACTCCTTGGGATGTTACAATATCGGGACTGGAACAGTGACTTACCTTTTCCGGTTTCTGCAGAGGTGGTGGATCCTTGACAGTCTAGAATGTTCAAAAGAGACAAACATGGGCTGGATGGGGGTGGGCAGGCTCTGCCTTGGCCCTGCACACAGCTGGGACCCTGGTCTGGAGTAGAGCTGGATGGGGGTGGGCTGGCTCTGCCTTGGCCTTGTACCCAGCTGGGACCCTGGTCCGGAGCAGGGGTGGATGGGGGTGGGGCAGCAGGACAGAGCACGGTCTTTAGGGTGTCACCTGGGCACTCTGAGCCTCTGCTGTACCCAGCAGGCTCCTCCTCCCAGGCCTCAGCCTTCAACCTTACCCAAGGGGAACCCCTGTACTGCTGCTGTGGGGTTCCTAGGGGTCAGCCAGGCCAGGGATCAGGTCCCTAGAGAGGCCCAGCCCCTGCAAGTGTCCTTCTCTGCCCACAGCCGTATGGAAAAGAGAGCGCCCGCCCCTCTTCCCTTCCTCAGGGAGAGCCTGTCTGTCCCTGGGAGCCCTCCCTGACCTCCCAGCCTTATGCTGAGTTCCCGGCTTCCTCCCCTTGTGGCTCCCTGGGCAGAGATGAGACCTGCGTGTTCCCTGGGCTGGGCTCTGTCCTCTCCTCCTCCTGCTCTGTCTGTCTGCATCTCTCTGGGCTGGGTCCGTCCACCCCAACTCCAAGGCCTCTATTGCCCTCCCCGCCCTGGGCTCCGTCTCTGCTTTTGGGTCCTGCTTTGCCTTACAGGGAGCCATTCCCACTCCTGTGGGGTGGACATTTCACCCTCAGCCCTGACCAGACAGGACTGTGAGCTCCCCATGGGGAACAGTGGCTGCTTCATTTCTGTCCCTCCCCAGCCCAGCATGGGGCCCAGAGGAATCTGGAGCTCAGTAAAGACAGATGAAGGAATGGAGAAGGCACCAGACATATGCCAAGATCCATGCTGGTTTCTCAAGGCACAGACAGCTGGGGGTTACAGCACCGTCTTCCATTTGGGCCAGCAGGGCCTCATGGGGGACCCTCTCTTCCTCCCTCCACACAGAGGTGACCTCCTGGCCCTGTCCATCTGAGGCTTCTGGAAGTCCGGATTGTTGAGGCAGCCCTGGTTTCAGAGGTTCTGGGGTCACTTTTCTCTAGGAGCCAGGGCAGGCCTCAGCCCCATGTCTAGGGCATCCCAGGCCAGCTCTCTGTGACCAGCCGGGGCAGGAGGTCCTACAGAAGCCTAGGATTCCTAGACTCTGAACGAGTGGACTGCTTCCCTTGGCTCATGTGATGACCTGGGAATTGATGGGAAACTTCCCACAGGTGGGATCACGCGGCAGTCACATGCTGAAGTCCCTTGGAGGTTGGACCTGTGTCTGAGCCCCAGGGCTGGGCGGGCAGGGAGCACTTATTCTCCTGCCACACGCCTGCCAGAAACCACAAAGCAGCAGCAGGGTCAGGAGCAGGGCCAGCAGGACCTGGATGATTAGTGGGTTGCTTGTCCAGCCCTCTGGTTGACTTGCCTCCTGTGATGGACCAGTGTCCTATGATGGACGAGTGCTCTGTGGCAGATGGGTACTCTCTGATGAACAAGTGGTCTGTGATGGACGGGTGCTCTGTGATGGATGGGCAGTGTTTGATTAACGGGTGCTTTGTGGTGGATGGGTGGTCTGTGGTGGACGGGTGGTGTGTGATGGATGGGTGGTTTGTGGTGAATGAATGGTCTATGACAGATGAATGGTCTATAATGGACGAGTGGTCTGTGGTGGATGGGTGGTATGTGATAGATGGCTGGTTTGTGGTGGAAGGGTGCTCTGTGATAGATGGATATTCTGTGGTGAATGGGTGGACTGTGGTGGACGGGTGGCCTGTGATGGATGGGTGGCCTGTGATGGAAGGTTGGCCTGTGATGGATGGGGACTCTGTGGTGGGTGAGCGGCCTGTGATGGATGGCTGGCCTATGATGGATGGGTGCTCTGTGGTAAATGGGTGGCCTGTGGTGAATGGCTGGCCTGGGATGGAAGGCTGGCCTGTGATGGATGGGTGTTCTGTGGTGAACAAGTGGCCTGTGATGGATGGCTGGCCTGTGATGGATGGGTGTTCTGTGGTGCATGGGTGGCCTGTGATGGATGGGTGCTCTGTGGTGAATGGGTGGCCTGTGATGGATGGGTGTTCTGTAGTGGATGGAGGCTCTGTGGTGAATGGGTGGCCTGTGATGGATAGTTGGCCTGTGATGGATGGGGGCTCTGTGGTGAATGGGTGGCCTGTGGTGAATGGCTGGCCTGTGGTGGATGGGTGCTTTGTGGTGAATGGGTGGCCTGTGGCAGATGAGTGTTCTGTGATGGATGGGGGCTCTGTGGTGAACGGCTGGCCTGTGGTGGATGTAGGGGCTGTGATGGATGGGTGCTTTGTGGTGAATGGGTGCCCTGGGATGAATGGGTGTTCTGTGGTGAATGGGGGCTCTATGGTGAAAAGGTGGCCTATGGGGAATGGGTGGCCTGTGGGGAATAGTTGGCCTGTGGTGGATGGGTGGCCTGTAGTGGACAGGTAGTCTGTGGTGGATACATGTTTCTGTGATGGATGGGTGTTCTATGGTAAATGGGTGCTCTGTGGCGAATGGGTGGCCTGTGGTGGATGAATGTTCTGTGGTGGATGGGTGCTGTGTGGTGAATGGGTGGCCTGTAGTGGATAGTTGTTCTGTGGTGGATGGGTGATCTGTGGTGAATGGGTGCTCGGTGGTGGATGGGTGCTCTGTGGTAAATGGGTGGCCTGTGATGGATGGGTGGCCTGTGGTGGACGGGTGTTCTATAATGAATGGGTGCTCTGGGATGGATGAGTGGCCTGTGGTGGACAGGTAGTCTGTGATGGATGTGTGTTTTGTGATGGATGGGTTGCCTGTGGTGAATGGTGGTCTGTGGTGGACTGGCACCCTGTAGGAGATAGGTATTAACATGCACTACGCCTGGTAGACAATGCAAATGTCAGTGGCCTGGGTGGCCTCTTCCCGGTGCCCACCATTTGGTGACCCATCTGCCCACTCCTCGCTTTCCCTAGCTGGTCCCTCCTCCATGTACCAAAGTGAAGCTAGTGGCCAGGGCTGGTCCCCAGAGAGCTACAGACTCCTCCTTCGGTCCTGCTCAAAGGCTCTGCCCTAGAGCGTTGCCAAGAAAGTCCCAGAAGTTTCTGTGATCTGATGAACCTAGCCTCACTGAACACCTCGCTTGCAGCACAGGGCTTCTTGGAGGACAACTAAATCTACAGGTACAAAGATAAGTGAGGGTGGGGGTACCATGGCCGAGAGAGGTGCAGGTGCAGGATCAGGGGCAGGAGACCCGGGTCCATACCCCACAGCCGCTCTCCCCACTTTCAGGCTCTGCACCATGGGCACATCCACACACTGCTCTGAGCCTCAGCCTCCACACTTGTGGAAAGGGAATAAGCCGCCCTCCCTGGGGGCACTTGTGAGGTTTACAGAGCTCAGAGAAAGGCCTGGCTCAGAACCAGGGATACATGGGGGGTAAGCAACGGGAACTATTCTCTGGCTGTTCTTCACAGTAAAGGGACTTTGGGCGGCATCCGTGGGAATGCAGGCTGCCCAGGCCTTCCCAAATCCAGACCTCTGCTTAGAAAGAAGGCTAGGGAGGGGAGAGGAGAGAACGTGTGCTGGCCCGAGCTGGGCCTGAGCCTGGCCTGTGCGCCTGACAGCCTCCCCATCAGCAGCAGAAGGGGACATACTACAGGGCTCGGGGAGGGAGCAGAGAGGGGCAGCTCAGGGGCCCGAGCAGGGAGGAGAGGCAGAAAGGAGGCTGACAGCATCTGGGAAATGACAGCAGATGACCACCAGGCAGGCTTGGGGGAAGGGGTTGTAAGTGGGTTTAGGATCAGATTAGCAGCTGGGGCACCGGTTCAGCGGCACACGCATCCTGAAGGTAGTGCGTGGAATTCTCCAGATCCCCTGGACCTGGGAGGCCCATGTGGAGAAGCTGGAGACTCTAGAGGTCCTGGATTCTGGCTCCTGGCACACAGCCTCCAGGCCTCACCCCCCTGTGCCAGCTGGAACAGGATCAAGCAGGCTCAGGTGTCTGCTGCACATGCTACTTTTCTGGGACTGCCTAGGAACTATGTGCTCTTTCTGTCCTCCCCAGGGTGTATCTCATTCCAGTGCAGGGGCTCTGGACAGCCCAGGTTGGTGGCATCCCTACCCTGGTACTCACACAGGTGGTGCTCTTCAAAGTGATGTCATTAGAAAAGACATTTCTGCCATTGTTCAGGCTGGCTTCAGCAAAGACCTCCCTAAAGCACAGAAAGCGAAGATGGTGAGAGCCAGCCCAGGGACATGCAGTTCTTGCCCTCGGTGAGTGGACAGCATGGGCAATGCTCTCATTCCCCAAAGCACTATGAGGTCTACCTCAGCAACGGTGGCCAAGGGGGATGTGGGTCCAGCAGCGAGGAGCCTCGCATGAGATCTCATGTCATTGTGACTGTGTCCTAAGTGACCACGAATGGCTGCTTGGTGTCAACCATTCTGGCTCTTGTGTATTTACAGAGTCTGTTGGCTTAACTCTGAAAGGTGACCTGGAGCAACGGTACCATTCCTCGGGCGATCATCTCCTGCATCTTGCCCTCCTCACAGACCCTAGGACACTGCAGATATCTGAACACCTTGGGGGCCACCAACAAGGGAGGTGAGCACTGTGTCCTTAGACCAGCCGCAGACACGTGCTGCCCCAGCAGGGGGGCATCCACATTCTGTACAACTCACGGTGCCCAACCATGACCCTTGGCCTCCTGCCCTCTAGGGCCTCCTGCCAGGGATTCTTACTGTCCAGGTTGTTTTTAATCTTTGGTCCAGGGCAAGTCATGAAAGTCTTGTCCATACTGATTTTTTTTTTTTCTAAAAGGAAATGACGTGGGAAGAATGCCGATGCACATGTTCATCCACTGTCCCTCCCACCTCCGGTCCTCATCACGCAGAGTTGACCCCGTGGTCCATGACCGGCATCTGGGCTCTGCTTTCCTATTGCAGAGACCCCTATGAGCACCCGCCACACCCAGGCCCTGTGCAGCGCTCTGCTGTGTAACAGGAACAGGCAGGCAGAGTCCCTGCTCTCAAGGACTCACCTTTAAGGACTGCGTGGGAGACACACAACAAAATTAAAAATAGAGAACAAAATAGATGGCAGAGTGCGATGTGCTGTGATGTCCATGAGCAGAGGGAAGGAGAGGCATAGAGGGAAAGGGACAGCTGCTTTGTCACAGGCGACCAGAAGTATTCGTGTGATGCTCCACAGTTTCTTCAATCCCATTTCATTTTCTTTTTCTTCCATCATATTTAAGCAGAATTAAATTTATTATACTGTAGTTGAAAATGTTAATAGCACTTGTCTTTGGGTTTGGGATTTGGGGTAATGTTTTTATTCATTATGTTTTGTCTATGTTTCTTTTTTCTACATTGTATGATTTTTATAATAAAATACAATTAACACTAAAATAATTGTACAAATGTATAGCAAAATATAACATAATATTATAAATTAAAATTTCATGTATACATAAAAGTAATTTCTATTGTATTTCTCTTTTTCATGTAGGTCAGGGTTACTATGGGCAAAATGATTCGTTTCCACATGGAACAATTTGTTGGCCTGAACCCAACTGTCAGATTAGCCATGAATTTCTAAACTGTTGACCTCTTCCTTGGTGCTGATAAAGATAACGATCAGGAAAACATGGTTAGGAAACAGATTTACTTTGAGAGATGGAAAGATTGGGATTACTGGGTTAAAAATCCCCAAGAGGTGTGATCTGACTGCAGTATGGCATTTGGGACAGCTCAGGGAGCTCCAGGGGAGGGCGGGTGGCACTGGCACCCTGAGGCCATGGTTCAGGGCCAAGATGGGCAGAGGGCCTAGCAATACCGGGCTGCTGGAAAAAGAGTTTTCAAACAGATTAACTGATTAAACCCATACTTCAGTCATCATATTAAAAAATGTCTTAAATTACAAAAACGTAGCCTATAAAGACAGAAAACATGAAGCATATAGAAACATCAAGCTTTGAATATGTCTTCTTGCTTCCCTATTTCTAAAATGTTTCACGAATGTTTTCTTCAGAGGAAAATGTAACTAATGACAAAGTCACTCCTCAGTGCATCCGAGCTCCCTGCAATACACAGCCATGCCCAGTCACTTCTGCACAGTCACCAACCAGGAGCAGTGTGGCTGTCTGCAGAGGCACCCAGGACTGTGGCATGGGCTTTCCTATGTGAGACCTGGTGCTGGCCCACCTTGGAGAAGAAACTAGTGCCCTCCAGGAAACCAGTGCACCCACAGGCGGGCAGAGGAGGCGTCTGATTGGACTTCCTGGGGATTGGCAGGGCCATGCCTTCCCCAAAAACCATCATCTCAGGGACACGGAAGGCCCCCACTGGGCAGACAGATCTCATGGGTCTACTCTCCAGGTGTGTGGTGCTGGAAAAGCTCTTCCGTCACCCCTGCCCTAGTTATCCAGCCACGCAAAGGAAATGCAGTAAGGCTGCTTGGAGAATTCATGGAGACAGTGAGTGTAAGGCACTTGGCACAATACCTGATATAAGAAGCATTCAATACCCAGTAGCTCTCCTTAGGAAGGGGCTGCTCCGTCCCTAAGTCACTCCCACGAAAGTATACGTCAGTGGAATCTTAATGGCCTGAGACCACCTACACAACTCTGCCACATGAGACTGTGACAATGACAGCCTCTGCCCCGTTCTATATACTCAGGGACAGGAGGAGAGATGGCCGAGAAGCATCCTGCAGGGAGAGGAGTCATTCCAAGTTTGCCAGATGACCCTGAATAAGAGGCCATTGAACATAACATGATCAGATGGAATGAATGTATCAAGGGTTCAAGAGGGAGAATGGAGGGGGATGCAGAAAATCCAAAAGCACCTCAGGCACTCAGCGGGGAAGAGCACACTCCCCCGGTACCCAGGGCACAGTGTCTGCCTAGACTGGGAGCTTCCTCAGGCCACTCTTCAATTGCAGAGGTCCCCCGATGCCTGAGTGTTGCCAAACGATAGGAGAGTTTAAAATATTATAAAGTCCATACTTGTGCCAGCTGCTCTACACAGGTGACCTTGCTTAGTTACGTTGAGTATCCCTAATCTGAAAATTCAAAATCCAAAGTGCTCTGAAATCTGAAATCGTTTGAATGTCACCGTGATGCTCAAAGGAAAACCTCATTGGATCATTTCAGATTTCAGAGGAGGCTACTTACCAATGACTTTTGTTTTACTAAACTTGAATCTGCAACTAACTTGGTCCTGGCTCTTTGCATTATTAAAGTCATTTCCATGAATAATCTCTTGCTTGGATTCTGTAAGAACAACACTCAAAAGTCCAAGTGAGGAAGAGTGGAGGGCTGTCTCCACTCTGACCTCCCTGCTCCTGTGATCCATCCCCAAAACTGAATTCCCAGGGGGCTTCCCTACAAGGAAGTGGCTGTGTCTGAATGAATATCTGTGTGTCCACTGGACCAAATCCTCATCTGGTGTCACTGAGGGTCCACAAGGAGGTAGTTGGGCCTTGAGTACACAGGAGGACTCCCACACCCTTCCCAATCCAAGGAAGCCAGGAAAGGCACCCTGCCTCAGCCTCTGCACAGGGGCAGTTCAGCTGGAGCTCTCCACCCTGAAATCCTACAGTGCTCCCTCAGGCCACAGGGGTCAAGTCCTTGCAGTCCTGAGCAGTGTTGTAGTGTCTGACGACTTGCCAGAAGGGCAACAGGACACAGATGGAAGTCACCTGTGCTGGAGGAGGGGAGGCAGTGGGGTCTTGGACTCCCGCACACTGCTTGGTGTGGCCTCCTGGACAGATAAGCAACACTACTGAAGAACGTTTCACAAGTGTGTGCCCTTAATGCAACAATTCCACTTCTTGTCTCAATCCCAGGGAACTACTGAGCCCCATGCATAGAGAGGTCTGAGGGGGTTTTCTGGGGCCGTGGTAACATTCCACATCTTCACAGGGTCTGCAGTTACACAGATGTGGTGTGCTCTTGTCAAAACTCATACAGATGATACACTTAAGATTTGTGCGCTGCAAAAAGAGAACTTAACAAACACTGTTCCCTAGTGAAAGATATACGAACTGAAGGGTTTAGGGGTAAAGTACCCTGAGGACTATAAAATACTTTTAATGTATCCAAAAATAAGATGAATTGGTGGAGAGAAAGATAGACAGAGAGAGGAAGAAACACACAGACAGGATAAAGCAAGCATGGTCAAGCATTAATTAAAAATCTCCACGATGCAAACAGGCGTGTACGTTGCGCAATCATTTCCACTTGGCTGTAAAGTTTGAAAAATGTAATAATGAAAGATTAGAAGAAAGACAGAACTAAATAAGAAAATTATACTTGGACATAGACAACCAGAAGTCATGGTATATCCTGAGTGACAAGTGACTGATGAGAGGGATAGACCAAGCCCTTGGGCTGCAGGGAGTCAGAGGGGCTGGTCATCAGGGAAGGCTTCCAGGACGAGGTGTCCTTCGAGCAGGACTGCCAAGGGCAGGTGGGCTCGGCCCTTCACGTTGAGGCCGGGCTTGCAGAGTGCCTATGCCCCACCTGGTCCCACCTCTGCACAGGGTGCCCAGAGCAGGGAGTGGCCCCTGGAGAGCCTCACTGCTCCAGGCTGGTCCTGAGCCCAGCAGAGGTCTCTGCCAGGCTGGATATGAGGCCCAGGGATAAACGGGGGAGTCTGGGCTGCGTGCCTCCCTCCTTGGCCTCCTTCCTGGGCTCCCCGGAGCCCTCGTAGCTTCTTGGTGGCAGCCTGCTGACAGGGCTCATTCTGCTGCATTTGGGTTCCAGGCTCCTGCCTTGGTCTTTCCCTACTGTGACTGTCACCCTCCATGTGGGGTGGCTTTGTACAAGTCGGCCAACAGCTGACAGGTCAGGGCTGTGACTGCCAGGTCATGTGGGCAGAGGCAGCGGGCCAAGCTGGAAGCTGGTGGGCAGAGGGCACCTGTCACCTCAACTCAGCTGCCTCCAGGGAGGAGTGACGACTCACATCCTCACCTGGGGTTGACAGGGCTGCTCAGATGCCACAGCCTGTGCACGTCCAGGGGACGTCATCAGAGGAGCACAGCTGTCACAACTGCTGCACGGCTGAACGGCTTTAAACCAGGAGCAGCAGAAAGAGACCCTGAGGGGAAGGGGAGCTCTCTACTCCACCCCTACCCTCAGCTCTGCGTGATGGAGCTGCGTGGTGGGGGACCAGAGCCCAGGACCAATCATGGAAGTGTCAGCGTAGTTCTTGCTTTGGGGTCCTACCAGCTCCCAGCCTTGTGCCAGGCCCAGCACAGCCCAGTGCCTTGGGACTCACGACAGGCCTGACAGCATCCTTTCTGTTCATGGGAGGCACCTCTGGAGCTCGCTGGAATTGGACTCTTTGCTCCTGGTGGTGTGCCCATGGAAAGCAGAGCTCAGATATGGACCATATGTCTGTCCCCACAGCATATTGCCGGGGTGCTCTGCGGTGAGGAACAGGGAGGCCAGAGTGCAACTGCTGGAGGTCCTGGTGGTCTTGCTAAGGGCCTCGTGCTCTCCCCCTGGAGGGAGTAGGCCCAGGGCTCTCTTCCTCTGCAGCAGCTGCAGTTGTACAAATGTCAGCCATGCCCAGCCCCAGCCCACGTCCTCCAGCTCAGGACAGACAGGGGTCATCACAGAGGCCCTCACAGGGCTGTCACCACCCATGCTGGGACCCTGGCTGGCAAGAAGACATTCTCTCCACATCCCAGACAGCACGGATGGGTGCTGGCATTTATCCTTTGGGGCTGAGGAGAACCAAGGGTGTTTGTGTGGACAACTTTTTCAGGCTATGGAGGTTTCCTTTGGCTCCCAGGGTGCTGTGGGATGTTGACACCCCTACTTCTTGTTCCTCATCCCCTATTACCTGGTTCTTCTTTCCCGTTTTGTTTATGTGGTAAATTACACAGATATTTCAGCTCCCACACCCACCTGGCATTCCTGAGATGAACCCTGGCTGCTCCTGGTCTATGGGCCAGGTTAACTGTTGTGCATGCCCACACCACATACACACAGATACAACACCCACACCACAAACACACTATACCGCATACACCTAGCACACATATACCACAGACACAACATAAATACACTGTACCAGACACATGCATGATCTACACACCATATACATACCACACACACCACACACCATACATGATGCGCAACACACACTCACACATTACGTATTGGCTCTGCATTTACTCGCTCTTCCTGTTCCTCTCTGTGAGAGTGGTACACATTAGTTGCTTCTAGTCAGCCATCTTGACCACTTCCAGAATTCTGGAGATTTCTTTAAAGAATG